ACCCAGAATGCAACAGTTTTCATTAGAAAGTCAGAACAGATGGAAACAGGAAAATCTAATCAGGTTAGTTCGGTTAAAGCTGATTTATGACAACAAACTACAAGAAAAAACAATAAATAGAACACAGCAAATCGTCACATTTCATCATTTTTTCAGGAAAAATAACCAAAATAAATCAAGAATTGTCATAAAATCAGCACAAAGGTGCAAAAATAAACCAGAAACAACCAGATTTAGTTTGAAAAAGTCTGAGAAAAACCAGCAGAGGAAGAATGGAAACTGCTATCAGAGCAGAAAGATGAAATTTAATGACAGGAACTCTGGAAGTTCATCTCAAACTGAGCAGAGGAAACAGGATCTGGGCTCAGAAAGGTGAAATCTGGATGTCTGGGAGCTCAAAGTCTCCATTTTAGGAGCAGAGCTTCATCAAAAGCATCCAGATTTAACAGGTCATTTAGTCCTAATGGGAACATTTTTAGGTTATTTCTCCATTTCCCCACATGACCTGACTTCTCATTTTCTCTTTAGTTTCTGACTTAACCCTATAATGCCAAATGTATCATATTTGATACACACAGTTTCTGAAATGTTTTGCGTCTGACACCTTTTGCATAATTTAATGGTAAAAACTTTGCTCAAAATCCTATTGTACACAATCAGATACGCCTGATAACAGGGGGCAGAAGACTACACAAAAAATTATCTTGACTTATCGCATAGTAATAAATTAATATTAAAAATGTATTTCTGTTTTTTCTTTTTACATATTTAGTTAAAAGGCCAAATGAAGACTTCAAACCAAAAAATTATAATTTTCTGTTTTGTTTTATTCTTGGATCAGGCTTTAAAGGGTTAAAACTTTATTCTGCCACCTTCGGCTGACCCTATACTTTCAAATTTAACTATATTTGATCAGAAAAAAATGGAATTCTTCAGTTTGAATGGATTAAATCACGTTTCCGCTCGTCTTTTGTTGTCGTGGTGTAAAAATCCGCCTCTTTGACTGGATCCCAGCAGCTGTTATTTCATTTCATTTCATTTCATTTCATTTATTTTGAAACATGATATGATTTTACAATGTGTACATAGAATGCTTCCTAAACATGCATCATGTTTAAAAAAAAAAAGGAGCAGGATGAAGCATAAGCTTATTAAGCCCTCTGGAAAACTGACAAGGTTCCTCAATTTAAAATGTGGTTGAGCGATTTCACTGAGATTCTTCATCTGGAGAGGCTACGATATGATGTTGTGGGTTCCTCTGACTTGCTGTTATAATATTTGTTTTTGTTTTGTTGTTCTTGTTTTTTGTTTTTGTTTTTTATGTTTTCTCTTATTGTACGTCTTTATTTTTGTTACTGGATTGATAAGAGTATACTGCTTTCATACAAGATTTTGTTACACACCATATATACATGGATATGTAAGTCTGCGTGTATATGTGCATATATATTTACTTATACTCTCATGTTTGACTTTTGTATGTTATATTCGGAAAACTTAATAAATATATATATAAAAATTAAAAAAAAGCTTATTAAGCCCTACCCCCCCTGTTATTCAGACAGAGTCCGGCTATTTACTGTCTGAGGTGAGTCAGCCTGCAGAGCCCTGTAATATGGGGTGGGGGGGGTTTAAAGCCCTGTAATATTGGGGTGGGGGGGGTATAATAGCCCTGTCATCTGCAGCTTTAGGGCTTCTCTCTGGTCCCTCTTTGGGCCGATTACAGGCCGGGGCAGAAATAACTGTCTGTTTGGGGGCCTTTCAGACGTCTGGGGATCGATTAATGAACGGTTATCAACGAGGGTCTGGCTCTGTTTTCCTGTTACTAAAATCTAAAATCTGACTCTTAGTTTGGCAGAAAGACTCGGTGGTCACTGTGTCTTTGGGGTTTGGGGAGTTTTTCAGACCTTAAATCAACTTCCAATTCATTGTGTCGCATAAAAAAAAACTTCCTCCTTTTTTGTTTTCTTTGTGGCAGCACATAGTGAGACTTCTTGGTTTTAATTAGAGAATAAAAAGCATGTGAATGTCGTCTGTGTTCAGACCTCTGGGTCTTCTACCTGTTTTCAAACGGGCTCCCTGCCCTTTTTTTCTCTTCCCATCATGAGATTGCTGCCACCTCTCCTTAATATGCAGAAACTCTGGTTTTAATCTGTAAAAA